AAGAAACTGGACCAGGTACTAGAACGCGTAGCCGATCATGGTTTTCGCCTCCGAGCGGAGAAGTGTGACTTCTATATGCAGCAAGTACGGTACCTTGGGTTCATAATAAAGACGGAAGACGACCAGATCCAGAGAACATTGAAGCTGTGAAAACAATGCCTAGACCTAGGGACATTCCTACCCTACGATCGTTCTTGGGACTGGTCAGCTATTATGGTACCTTCCTCCCCGATCTTCACCGTCTTCGTGCTCCACTTAACCACCTACTAGAAAAGAATACAAGATGGAATTGGTCGGCGGACTGTCAAGCATCTTTCGAGAAAATCAAGCAACTCCTAACTTCCGATCTCTTATTGACGCATTATGATCCTTCGCTACCAATAGTCGTTGCTTCAGATGCTTCTAACTATAGTGTGGGCGCAGTCATCTCTCACATTTTTCCTAATGGGTCTGAAAAAGCTATCTCCCACGCTGCCATATTTTTGACAACGACCGAAAGGAACTATAGTCGAATTGAGAAAGAAGCCCTATCAATTATCTTTGCAGTAAAAAAATTCCACAAGATGATATATGGTGGACATTTTACCCTAACAACAGACCATAAGCCACTACGACGAAAATATTGTTAAAGTTCTCCGTCAAGGCGATTGTTTGGCCATTTGGTCGAGAGATAGCATTTAACTGTGCTCAATGTCTTATCACTTTTAGTGATCTTCTTGATAGTTTCAAAAGTTACTGGGAGTCCATTGATTGCGTCATCCAATACGCGCCCTTCCGATGGCGCTTACTGCAACAATGTTCTTTATACGGGCAGAACCTCTTATAGTGCCAACCTCTACATGCCCAGCATGGAAATGATGGTTTGTCGCTGTTATTACGATAATTCTGCGTGCTGGAACCTTGTGAGACTTTTCTCTCGACTGCATTGACGTAAGGGAAACGGTCACCGTTCTCAACCATTGAGGTATCATGCTTCAAGTTCACTAACCTTTGGCATTCGGTAGTTACTTCCTGCAGGGTCATGTTGGGGCAGTGTTCGAGCTTGCTTAGGATTTTTGTTCAAATGTCAGCATCTTCAGGTTAATGCAGGCTACAGACAAATACTAGGCATTTAAACTGGTCTTCAGTCATGGAAGACAACTTGAACCTCTCACACTCTCGATTCAAAATTCCTGCATGTTTCATCCAGTCATCTCCTGGTTCTTTCGTTATCTTCAAACATTGGTAACGGATATTAAATAAAGATGACTGTTCTGCAAAGATTTGAGACAGGGTTTTAACTGTTTCATCAAAACTAAAGTCTCGTGGGTTCTTCGGGAGAATGAAGTTACTATAGCGTTCATGTTCCATCGTCCCAAGTTTTCTTAGAACTATTCTGACTTTTGAGGCGTCATCAACTCTGCAGAGATCAATATAGAACAAATCTTCATGTTTCTTAAACCAAGAATCAAAAGTTACACCTGCTGCACCGTCAAAATTAAATTCATGAATGGCATTAATGATTGAATCAGTATGAGATATTTGCGATTCACCAAAAGCAGGGTTTTGCTGGGACAAACACAATTTCTGCATCAGAGCTTCCATGATTCTGATTTGGGACTGTTCAAACCTTTATTCTTGACGCTCCATATAAGCTTCTGGCTGCTCCAAAGAAATATTCATTGTAGTTTCCCCGTCGCCACTGATAAGTCTTATTATTTGAACGCTATACTCGGTTCCTAAGCTATTCTTGTAACCCCCAAGCTAGAACTATACAGCAACCTAAACACGAGAGAGAAGGCGCGAAGTACTTTACTCCAAGGCTCATTCTTGTACAGAAAAACACGGGTATTTATAGATGTTAACATTTGTTAGATCAACATCATATTTTGGCCAATCCGCTAAAAGATATATTATGCTACTGACCAATAGTAGCACACCACGTTGGTATTCTAGAAAGCTCCACCATGCTTTGATTGACTAGGACTCTTCGGCTCCTTCAGGGCCTCCGGAGGCTCCGTTGCAGTTCTCGGAAATCCGACTCAACAGTTACAAAGTAGAATCTATACGTTTGTATACCGCTTCAGGTTTCTACATCTCATTAGCACAGAGTAATGCAATAGGTCAGGCTAAATCCCGGAATTGTAGAGGTATTAAAATAATTTAAACCATTTAAACTCTGCCCAGGGAGTTAGAAGGTTTTCATTTAGAAGAGTTATGACGTCTCATGGTGAATGCTGGGTTCCTTCGGAAGTCACGAGGCTGATGCCTCTGACAATTTGCGCAACCAATAATTTAGGTATATTGAATGCTCGTACAATTTGGGAGAGCGGTATAGTCTTCTAAAGTGCTTCAGAAATAAAGAGATACAATTTGGAGGTGCTTGGAATCAGAGAAACACAATGAACGGAAGTTGGACAACAACTACTGGTTTCAGGGTAGCTTCAGTTATACTCCGGCCAAAAAAAAATTCCTATATACACAAGGAATTGCATTGACGCTGATGGGAATCTTAAATGTCAAGGTTGGAATGGACAACACCGGATATGAAAACATCATGGGACGACATGGACTGGGCGAAAAGGACGAAAATGGTAAGAGATTTGCAAATCTATGTGCCTTCAATAAACTGGTCATAGGCGGCACAATATATTCCCGCATAAACGCATCCACAAAACCACATGGACTTCACCAGATAGCACTACACAGAACCAAATCGACTATATGTGCATCAACAAAAAGTTCAGGAGGACGACGGAGGACGTGAGAACCGAGAGAGGAGCTGATATAGCATCAGATCATCACTTGCTGGTCGCCAAGATGAAATTGAAACTTAAGAAGCACTGGACAACAGAGAGGACAATATCACAAAAGTTTAATACGGCTCTTCTTCGAGATACTGACAAACTCAACAAATTCAAGATAGCCCTCACCCATAAGTTCCAGGCCTTTCATGACCTACTCAATGGAGTAGGAACTACTATGAAGAGCAGCTGGAAAAAGAGATAAAAGAGACAATCACTTCAAAATGTCATGAGATTCTGGGCCAAAAGAAGCACCATCACAAGGATTGGATCACGATCGATACACTGGATAAGATTCAAGAAAAGAGGAACAAGAAAGCAGCAATCAATACCAGTCGAACAAGAGCAGAAAGAGCCAAGGCACAGGCTGAATACACAGAAGTAAACAAGCAAGTGAAGAGGAGCACCAGAACCAACAAACGTGAATATGTGGAAGATTTAGCACTGACGACGTAAAAGGCTGCAAGAAAAGGAAACGTGAGACGATTGTATGATACAATAAAGAAATGCGCTGGAAATTATCGGGAACCAGAACGATCAGTGAAAAGTAAGGAAGGCAAGATAATCGCCAGCATTGAAGAACAACGAAACAGGTGAGTAGAACACTTCAAAGAACTATTGAATCGACCAGCCCCAATGAACCCACCCAACATCGGATCAGCATTCACGGACCTCCCAATCGAGGTTGGCCCACCAACAATTGAAGAAATCATCATTGTCATCAGACAAATCAAGTGTTGCAAAGCAGCAGGACCAGAAAAAAAAGTTCCAGAAGAGTCACTGAAAGCAGATGTAGAAGTAACTGCAAAGATACTCTACATACTCTTTAATGAGATTTGAGATGAGAAACAAGTTCCAAAAGACTGGAAAGAAGGACTTCTGATCAAAATACCAAAAAAGTCTATCTCAACAACTGTGATAACTACAGGGGAATCACTCTTCTCTCAATAGCAGGAAAAGTCCTCAACAGGGTATTGTTAAACAGGATGAAGGACTCCATAGACGCCCAACTTCGCGACCAACAGGCAGGATTCCGTAAGAATAGATCGTGTACAAACCAAATCGTAACTCTACGGATCATTGTGGAAGAATCAATTGAATGGAATTCATCGCTTTACATCAACTTCATTGACTATGAAAAAGCATTTGACAGCATAGACAGAACAACGTTATGGAAGCTTCTACGACACTACGGCGTGCCTGAGAAGATAGTCAATATCATACAGAATTCCTATGATGGATTAAACTGTAAAATCGTGCATGGAGGACAGTTGACAAAGTCGTTCGATGTAAAGAACGGTGTCAGGCAAGGTTGCTTACTCTCACCCTTTCTCTTTCTCCTGGTGATTGACTGGATCATGAGAACGTCAACATTCGGGTGTAAGCATGGGGTACAGTGGACATCTAGGATACTATTGAATCGACCAGCCCCACTGAACCCATCCAACATCAAGGTAGCACCCATGGACCTTCTAATAGATGTTGGCTCACCAACAATTGAAGAGATTCAGGAAAAGACGACCAGTTTAGCAGCGACCTCAGCAGCAGTAGGTCTCAACATACACAAAAGCAAGATTCTCCGATACAACACAGCATGCACCAATCGAATCACACTTGACGGCGTATACTTGGAAGATGTATAAACCTTTACGTATCTGGAATTATTCTTTACCACTGTGACAAGTTTCACTCTACCTGAAATCAATATTTTGACTGCTCTTTTGTGACAACTGTCAACCTAAGTTAGCGTTATTGACAGTTTGACCGTAGTGTTATATTATGCTAATTTTCCATTGGCTTTTTGAGGGCCGTTCATACTCTTGGCTAATATAGTCCTTTGAAAATTAAACAAATATAAATCAATTGTCGAACTGAGAGTTGTACTTTTGTTTTTTGTTATATTGAACGCGATAATCGATATGTTATAAGGTATACTGCCTTTCTAGAATGATACGAGTGGGTTCTTACAAAGTGAAGGTTTTCGTGGTTTTCAAATCAAATCGAGCATGAGCGTAAATGCATTCAGTTGAAGAATTTTCTAAAATCCAGATTTTGATTCCTGTCGAGACTGGAGAAACTATTATTTACGGCCCCTAAAGCTTTCTGTTGGCTAGCACATTATGTTGTAAATCTATTTTAATTTTCCGGTTGTCTTGCATTATTTCAGCTAAAATAGTTGATAAGCTTGTGTACGTATTTATGCTTCCGTCTTGCTAGGTCTCTGAAAATCATACGAAAATGATCAGCGAATGGAGGAAACGTAAGCGTATCGTGAGTACCGAAACTTTTGTTTATCTTCTTTTATTTGGAGAGTGAATTACTGAATTCAAAAAAATTATTTATAATGACGTATACTTTTCAATAAAAAGATAATTGGTGATAAAGCAATATTAAACAGTTGCAAGTTAATCCTTATCCTGCAACTATAATCAGTGTAAAAGACGACTTGATTTACATGACAAAATTATTTAGTCCCTTCTAAGATCTTTAGAATGACTATTTGTTCACTATCTGATGAGTAACGCGGTGAATCAAAGCAGTTTATGAGATTAATGACTAGTTGTTTATAGTAGTAGTAGTAGTAGGAGTTTATAAACGTTGGAAAAGTTGCAATACCATGAGACCTATGATGTTTTTGGCACCCAAAAAACGAGTCTTCATTACTTTACCATTTAGAAGTGACTCAAATAGTCTCATGTTGAAACGAAGGCTTAAATTAGCTATCAATAGGACATTTTATGGAGCCCATTTCTCCATTATTGAAAAGTCAAGGTCTATGTTTCACCAAAAGCACAATCAGCGTGTAAACGATTGTGTCACATCCCGTTGCGCGTATCAATTTACATGTATGTGCGGAAACACATACATAGAGGGGAGCAATCGTGAGCTGCCTGCAAGTAATTGTAGCTAAGCGCATACTTAACTGGTATCAAAAAACAAATGTATTCTGATGGCCAAATAAGATTACAGGATAAACAAATATTTTCCTCCATTACGAAACATTCGGTTGAGATCGGTCATAAGGTTGAAATCAAGTCAGCCTTTGTAGTTTTGTACAAAAACTTTCAACGACATATGCTAAGGTTTGTTGAAACCTTGGTTATGCAGGAACCAAACCCCTTTTATGTGTTCAAAAACAATTTGTTCTTAACATAAACCTACCATGATAATACTGATTTGTTATCCACCGTCGTTTCCGCATTGTTTTTGTATACCTTATTATTATCTTTGTTTCTGCTTACCTTTTAATTTGTCTTGTTGTTGATCTTTTCATATAAAATGTCGTAACAAGTATATATGTGATTAGATTGTTCGAAATATATTGCACACAGATATCATGTATTTCTGATAACCTTTTTCTTACTGCATTTTCGAAATTTATCAAAGACACTAGTTGTTTTCGAGTATTTGATAAGTTTTCTGTGGCCAAAACATCTATTCTGATCTAATGTATGGAGATAAAAATACATCTACCAAATAAAATCCGACGAAAAATACACTGGTAGTGTATATTTGCCCTAAACAAGTTTGGAATGAACTCTTATGTTATTACGTCATATTCTACACATATCTAATTACAGCTGTGTTTTCATGAAAAAGCCACTCTTTGTTTAACATTAGTTTTGTGAAATTCAAACATTTGTTTTTTTTTAAATACTGTTGTCAGAATATCATTTACTGGGCTTACAACAATTATATTTGTGCAGTTTGTCTTAGTTTTAATTCGGCAAATAATGCACGACGTGGAATTCTCTGGGATGACATTCGTAGAACATGTTCAAGCCACCGAAGTCGGTGTTTCAAGATGGTGACACCAAATGGATTATCATGTCTGCGCCCGAACACACGATGCCGAACCTCTGCATTACTAACATGGTGTTGCCACTGGATGTCAGCAATCCTACGGAGACAACGATGATCGAACGCAGAGAGCCGTCTAACATCCTCAACTCGGAGAGGCCAGGTTTCGCATGCATTAGCATAGAGTAAAACTGCTCTCACCGACGCTTTGTAGATCGCACCTTTTACAACCAGACTAACATCACGAAGGCGCCAAAGATGGCCCAGATTGGCATAAGCCGCTCTGGCTTTCACTATACGTGCATTGATCTCATCACTCACGCCACCACCAACACTTATGCAGCTACCCAGATACACGAACTTCTCGACTACTTCTATCTGCTCACCATCCAGAGTGAGTACAGGACTAGAACCCTGCCAGTCTTGTAGAAGTACTTTGCACTTCGAAGGTGCAAAGCACATACCATACCTACGGACACTGATTGCCAACTGATTGAGTGCGGATTGCATAGCTTGGGCATTCTCGCACAGTAAGACAATATCATTCGCGTACTCAAGGTCGAGAAGTCTTTCTCCAGGCAACAGATCCACACTACCATTCATTACATCCATCAGAGCTGTTTCCAGAATGTCATCGATGGCAAAGTTGAAGAGGAATGGTGAGATTGGGCAACCCTGTCTAACCCAACTGCTTGAATGGGATAATAGAGAAAAGTGGTTGTATGCCCTCACTCTGCCTGAGGTGTTTGTATATTGGGTTTTTAGGATGTTAATAAACTTCTCAGGCACACCCTTCTTCAATAGACAATCCCAGAGAACAGACCTATCCAACGAATCGAAGGCAGCCCTGATATCAAGAAACACTACGATTGTTGGCCTTTGATAAGTATGGCGGTGTTCATACATTTGGCGGAGGGTGAAGATGTGATCAACGCATCCACGACCAGAACGAAACCCAGCCTGCTCCTCGCGAGTCAACCCTTCTCTGGTTTTGAACAACCTACGAAGTATAACGGAAGCCAATTGCTTGGACTCAATCGGAAGTAGACTTATCCCTCGATAGTTGTTATAGGAACGACGTGAACCCTTTTTAAAGATAGGGACAACTATCGACTCATTCCATGACGTTGGTACACTCTCTAGTTCCCAGACCTTTGTAAACAACGTCGTCAGTCCCTTAGTCAGAAAGTCACCACCATCTTTAAAAAGAGCCGGAGGTAAGTCATCTGGGTTTGGTGATTTGTAGCGTTTCAAGAGTTGAAGTTCCTTGCGGACTTCCGCCTCATTTGGTGGATCAGTCGTCAGCGTCCATGGAGGGCAGGACAGTCTGACCGATGTCGCCGGAGCGGTAGGCCAGTCGGACCACCCTTCGAAAAATTCTGCCCATCTTCCAAGACGTGGATGGATGTTAGTGATTGGCGTTCCGTCATCCTCGCAGATTGTTTTGCTCACACCAGACTTCTTGCTGCCAGTGGCTCGGATGAGTTGGAAGAGCTTCCGGCAATAACCAGATGCAGCTGCTGCCTCCAGCTCATTAACACGCTCCGACCACCAGGCTTCTCGGTCCTTACGCAAGCTTTTCCCGATTTCATTACGTAACAACCTTCGTCTGTGGTCAAACTCACGGTCACCCGGAGTAGACCGACGGGCTTCAATGAGTTGTAAGGAACCAGAAGAAACCCAGTGCTTATAAGCGGGACGTTTCGCGAACCCACAACAGACTTTACCCGCCATTTTCATGGCGTCATGTAATTGCAACCAATGCTCATCTATACTTTTCGATGGAATGGTAGATAGCCTAGAAGCTAGCTCGGTTCGATGCTTACTAGCCACAGAAGTTGCAACCAGCTTGCTAACGTCAATCCTTTGGTGGCGGTCACTTCGTTGTCCACTGAAAAGTAAGGTAAGATTGGCTCAGACTAGGGCATGATCAGATTCCAGATAGGTACTCCAAAAGGAGCGGCAGTCTTGTACACAAACACGCCAGCGGTAGCTGATCGCGATGTGATCAATCTGAGTCCAGGCTTGAGATGCAGAAGGAGTACGCCAGGTGGCACATCGGCGATGACTGTGCCGAAAGTTAGTACTAGCTAGAAACAGGTTGTGGCCTGTGCATATTTGCAGTAGACGTTCCCCGTTATCTGTCCTGCGACCAACAAGTGCCCATCGGCCATCTAAACGACTCTCTTCTGTGCCTAGACGCCCGACCTGAACATTCAAGTCTCCGGCTAGTACTACAATATCTGTCGAACTCACTTTCTGGAGAAGAACAGTTAACTGGTGGTGGAACTCATCCTTGATTGCATCCGGGCTGCAATCTGTCTGGGCATAGGCGGAGATGACGAAAAGACATCGTTTCTCACGCCGATTTCTTCTCACTTTGATGGTACTTTCTAATCTAACAGCACATAACCGACTGTTAATGGGGATCCAATCGATTAGTGCTGCCTCAGCTCTAGCGCTTAGTGCGACACCAACGCCAGTGAGTCCACACAAAGATGCCACAGGGTCCCTGGGTAAACGCACATAAAACAAGCTTTTTGAAACGACAGATGGAGAGCGAACTTGTAGTACTTCGCCAGTCTTGAATACGGGTCTCGGATAGACAACAAACGTCAATATCAAGAGTTTCCAAATACATAGCCAGCCCTATCTGTTGTCCGACCTGCATGAGTGTGTGGACGTTGAAGGCAGCCAGTTTGAATGGTGCATGTGGTTTCAGAAAATCTGCTTCAGTACTCGTATTCGGTGGTAACATACGATTTTCAACCAGGCAGTGACTCGAGAACGTTTAGATAGAACCGAATTTCCACCATAAGCGAGCTGCTGTATAAGTCGGAAAATAAGGATAGACAGAGTGGGAATAGAAGAGAGTGAGTGAATAAATGACTTAGTAAATAATAATATTAATAATAATAATGAGAGTCATTTGATTGTTAATCCGAGCGAGAAGAATATTTTTCATAAGTAGACAGTTCATCATGTTTTCGTGTGTGGGCTGAGATACTGCCTGGGTGCCCAAACCGAAGCAGGTGGTTTTCTTCGGGGGGCACATCTCGAACCTTTAACCTAAAGGTCTAACCCACAAGGCAGTGGAGCATCGTGAGGAGATGCAGTCCCATGGAAGCCGGTGACCAAAAGTTGGTTCATACGCCATTTGTTCCCACAGGAACCCATATGCACCATTGAATACTTTGTACATATGAATGAGTAACAGCCTCTTACTTCTACTAGACTCTTATCATATCTGTATTAGTCTATTACTCTATTTACAGTCGGAGTTTTTCCTCCTGTTTAGTTTGATTACCGTTACGCGTTTTCAAACTTTTTATGTTAAATGATGTGCCAAATTTATAAACATGGCTGCTAATTCTTTTTCTTTAGTCAATGATACTTACTGTCTATGTGTTTTCTTATAGTACATATTGAAATGTTATCCCTACACAGTTATTTAAAAGTTGTAATTTTATTTTGACAGTGAACTAGACACTAAGATTATCTTAATTTCTGGATGAACTATTTAATTTCTCTATGATTTAATTTGTTAAACGTTGTTACTGATTCTTGCTCAATTATCAGGCAATGAATATTGTTGATGCTGTGGCTGAAAGTTATCCTTCCAGCAAGAAGCAGTTAATGGTAAGTTACGGGAAGTTTTCTACTCATTCCTATCACTTAAAAAATATTTTGAAAGGTCTTTCCTATCTATTATATTTGATTGTCAAATTTTATTTATTTATTTGAACGCAGAAGTATTGATACAAAGGGGAACGGAATACATATGCGCCACACAAGTCACTTGATTTGTGTGTGGGCTGTGATACTGCCCTCTGTGTCCACCAACCCGGTTAAACCGCCGGACATTCGTCCTCGATTTCGTAAACAACAGTAATGCCGCGAGAAGGCAGTGGCTGGGAAGTCAAATTTTAACTTGGTTACACTCCTGTTCTGCTTGGCTGTTTGATACAAAGGGCTGTTGAAGAGTTACTGACTGCGTAGGGATTGATTCCAACTCCAGTTAGTATTATTCTACCGTAGGATCTCAAACTTGACCTTCCCATATGAAACACTTTTTTTTACATTAGTACTTAAATTAGTAAACATCCATTCGTTTGAATGTTTTGTAGTTGACGGTTTGTAGGAACTGTCTAATTTAAACCAACTTTTATTCTTCTAGATCTTCAGTCGTAGTATTCCTTTCTTTTATGTGGACAGAGGAGCTACATAAAAACTGATAACGTCATGTATGAATTCGAGTTATAAGGCATTGACATTAGCTTTTAAAATGATCTCACTTTACTCGTGTTACGTTCTTAGCTAAACTTTGATTTTTTTGTTTTAAATAAAGTTTCAAAGGAAATTTGGAGGAAACATAGATACTACTCTTTCAAATATATTTGAAAGTGAATTAAGGTGTAGATAAACATCAGCATGTTATTATAGTTTTTTTCTAGAATAATGGAATTCTTACAACGATTCTAGCCTAATGGGTGAACTAGATATCTCAAAACTAAATAATAGTACGACCAAGGAAGACAAAATAAACACTGTATTTACAACTCCTTGCTCGTTTAGTGTTAAGGTATCAGTCATAACATCAAGAGCGCAACCAGAAAAACTTGTCCTTCAGGTTGTGTTTGGTTATATATAAAAATGACATCAATAATTACGGCAGAGTAATTAAGGAGTACATTCCAAAGATGAGTTAGTAGCTCAAGATAAAGAATGAAGAAATAAATACCATTGTGAGTGGGAAAAATTTAAAACATTGAAATAATTTTGCAGAGAGATGGGTTCGCTTCGATAAAGAAATATCTTTGTTACACTTCGTGAGCTATGGAAATAGTTATATATCACTTCAACTAATCATAATGCGTAGGATTACGTAGCACGAAAAGGATAACCAAATGAATAGAGTTATTGACATTTTGTTTTGGCCTGTTTGTTTTCATATTGGTTGATTTGTGAGGTATCTCCCCATGGCTGTTTATCTGTATGAATTTTTATCCACAATGAATTATTAGGATTTGGCCACGTGCTGCGTATGCCTGAACACCGATTACCACGACGCGCAATGCTAACCGGTGTTAGGGATGATTGGAAGAAAGTTAGGGGCGGCCAAACCAAAACGTGGCATCAGTGCTTGAAGACACTAACTTCTGGTCTGAGCCATGTTGGTAGATGCAGACTACCTGGTTGGGATCCGCGTGACTATCGTAACCAATGGTTGGAGACTCTTGGTGACATGGCTCAGAATCGATCACAATGGCGTCGGTGTATACACTCTCTGTCTTCCTTTAAACTAAGAGAATAAAATCACTTCAAATCTTTCTTTCTACGAACTAATTCTATCTTCCTGTACTATCTCCTTCTATATATTACCACCACTGAATTAACTACTTCTATGAATCCGGTGTTCATCTTGTTGTGCTAATGCGGTATGGCAACTTGGACCGATGCATATACGTGCCTGGTCCTACGTTGCAGCTGACTGACTGACTGAATAGGGTAAATTCATATATGGCTGTACATCAACATTTACTTAATGTTAATCTATTTTATTCTTATTGCTTTAAATGAACAACACGGTGAATTACAGGTTTACTATTGAGGTAAAGTAAATATATCACTTTTTGAACTTGATCAGTACATTTATAGTTTCTAATCGGAAACATATACTTCAGTCATTCATTTTATTCCAGTCTGATATAGGTATAGAAACAGATGAAGACCGTGGGATTACAATACCAAAATGAAATCAGAAGTTGGTTATCGGAAAGCCCAAGCCTATTCGCATTTGATATTTTCTTTATACATATCCTTTTATTCTAATTTTACTTCATATCATTGTTTTTTTTATAAGATAAAATTATGGCCAAACAGCGCCTAGCATTTTAAGTAGTTTTTTTCTTATAAAGTTAAGATTGTTTGTTTGAAGTCAGTAAATGTAGTCGTAGGTTGGAATACTACACTACCAACTTCCGTTTTAAAATCTTCGCAGTTTCACTAGCCTTCACACAATGCAGTGTGGCTCAATGCAGAATACATTCATATGTACTTGATGAATAATTTGCACTGGATTGTTATTGTTAGTAGTAACATTATTCAGTCACAGTCAAAGTATAAAGTAGCATCAGCACATATTGTCACACCATATCAACACATTGAGATGAAAATAACGGTATGAATAACGTAAGAGTCGAAATAGTATTAATATCAATGGTAGTAAGAAAAGTAAAATTTAAAGAACACTGTTCGGAAAGAATGTGAATTAAGGTATGAGGTTATATATGAACTAAGTATTTACGAAAAAAAAACAAGTGTATCTGCGTTACTAACCGATTTCTACCTATATAATCCGGTCTTTCCAACCTTTAATTATAAGTTGTTCATACCTACAAATACGGAATAGAGCAGCGGTCAATTATTTCATGAACTAATGCAACCGCTTTGTCTAGCCGCTCTTTCCTATAGTATGTAGTGCTATTTCACGCCTACATGAATTATTCTAGCTTTTGAACATGCCAGTCAACCCGATCTTTCTGAGTCATTGTCAACTAAGTAGATCTTAGAAAAAAACAGTAGGTCCATGTATTTTGATAATAAAATCGTCGATATGCGCTATAGGGTGTCTATTCGCAATTGTTTACCTGTTTAATGCACGATAATCCCTTCATGGTTGGATTCCTGCATTCTTCTTCGGCACTATGTGCAAGAGGAATAATACGTCTTTCGGGCACTCCAGTATAAATCTAAGTTTTCTTGAAAGGTAGATATTTTCGTGAGAAATAAATTTATTACGGAAATACTACAGTAATATAGCAATTAAGATGACAGAAAATGGTTGGGGAAAGTTGTTTCCAGCATCCAACACGCTTTAAATTCTGGTATATATGGGCTTTCTTCTTGAGAGACCCTCATATGCTTCCTTAATTTTACTGACCAGTTGGCCACTTATATTTAAGGCATTAGAGTTGGTGCTTGTCTTATTTAAGCCCCAAACATAATTTGAAGAATTGAAACTAAGGGATGAGGGTCAATGATCTAAAAATAAAGCCTTGTAACGTAAGCGTTTGCAGTCTACATTTCCTGAGTCTTCCTCGATGCTTCATCAGTCACTGAGGATCACCGTTATACGTACGACCTTTCAGAAACTATCCTCTTCAGCTAAGTTTTGACCACTGTTTTCGAAATCATACAGCTATCTGAATTAAACCTAAGGTCCAATTCGGACAGCTGTTGCGATGGAAGGATCTTGATCCTCTGAACAAAACTATGAAGTAGCTTACTTTTCTTCATTCGATTTTAATTAAACCTGGTATTTTTATGATCATGTTTCGAACATATAGGTATACTTTATCTGGATTTAAAAACGACAGACTGAAGTTTCAATTTTAGGCTTTGTCAAGTTAATTTGGACTGCATCGCGTATTCACAATGAACTTGTTAGTTAGCAGTCTTTTTTTAATAAATTTGTGATAAGTCGTTTGGAATTGAAAAAGTATAGTAGACTAGCAGATTAGTAGTTAACTATTCAATGCACGGAGACTAATATATTCAGAAAAATATCCCAAAAATTATCCTGTTAAATCTAATGCTATCCTTGAACGTGAAATGGTGTTATTTTCCTATTCGTCAATATTCACGGTAGTCCTAACTGTATAAATATGCATTAGTCTGTGAATTATTATTCTCCTGACCCCATAAACAATTTTCATCTAACTGTTCGTGTTCTTATATATTGGGGTCGTACTGGGTTATCTGCAGTTGATCAGTCGGTAGAATTAGAGTAGCCATCACGCGGTCCACAATAATAGATCCTTATATCAAGATGAGTACATAAAAGAACGAAACGATAAGACCCACTCTATCATTTCCTATGCTTTGTTGTCACATATCGAAACATCAGTCAGTGCACACTTCAAGCTTATACTTACCGAGAAAACTTGGGAAACAGAAAATGTATGTTTCTGAAACTGAACGATGTACAGAACTTCTGCCGCCTTCATTCAAATGATCGCCAGTTTTCTGTACAAGTGTATATTATTAGTCATCCAAAAGTGATTAGTGTTATGGGTTTTAATCATCAATGTGGATAAAATTGCATAAACTCGTGTGATTGAGTTAAAATAAAAACCGATCTAATCTATGATATGATAATAGTGTCAATCAAATGTGCTGTAATTTGTTCTTGCAAATCTTAATTATATAAAATTTATCGCGATAAACCAAGTTTAATTATTAAATTCATCGTTTCATATATTACATACCTTGTGATAAATGTTTGTTTATATAAACTCAGGAACCGCTAATTTTACATATTACAATTTGAAGTATCAAGTTTTATGTTGCTGATCATAACATCATTACACTTAACGATTGAACTACTAAAATAAACCATCTACATTGTTTACACAGCGAATATGTACGTGTTAAATCAATGTGCGTTTATCTACTCAGTGATGGATTATTACTTTAAGTTGCGTACCAAAATTTTTGGTTTCTAGATCACGGTGCAGTGGTTATATTTACCAAATTAGTAAAATTAATATAGTTACCGTGTCTAATAATCCGTTATACCTAGTTATCGATCAGCTACCCAAGCATAACTACTGACGAAGAATTTTGAGTTTTTTATGCAAGCGGATGTTTCAATAAGTCAATCAATAACTGATTAAAGAATCAACCGGAAACGAGTAATATTAGTTCAGTTTTACTTTATGAAGTCATATTTGTCTATTTAATCACAATTTAGTATAGAAATAAACTGAAATAAAGGAATGGAATCGGTAACACTAATTTATTAGAATCACTAGACAAATGATGGTACAGTCAGCCTTTAATTTGGTGTACGTATTTAACTGACAAGAAAAAAATAATGAAAAAATTAATAGAGGCAATAATTTGCCAAAAATGAAAGGTTGATTTCTTGCTGTCATGAAATCTTTAAGGTTTCCAAATAACCATTAAAAGGTGAGAGTAGATAAATATGCAGTTAAGAAATCGCCATAAGATTGTTTCGAATCCCTTGCATTTTAGCGAAGTTCACTGAACCTATCTCGTTTTAAATGGGTTGCTAGAATAAGTGAAATTCTGAAACACTTGTTATTCTTGTAGTCTCTGATAGTTAATTTATTGATGCTAAACTGCGTATAACAGAACAACAAACAGTAGTCTACCTGTGTATTTTTGGGCAGATTTCGAAAGATCTGTGATGTGAGTAACTAGTTGAGTCAATTATTAGATTCGCTAGTCACTTATTTCATTAAACCATCTAAAGACAGATGAAGTGTATTTGACGTGAACAGGAAGCTTCTCAAATTCCTGCACAGTTATAGCTATCATCTTCACGGTGATATAACAGCTATAACGTTTTGCCTGACACAAACTTTGGTCACCAAAGAATTATTTCAAAATATTTAAGATAATCAATTTTCTTTGCTTTTATATTACTTCGTATTTGCGATAATACGCTAAGCTCACCTCCATTTCTACTGTTTTAACCATTCCTGTTACTCCTCTCATATCAAACAACTGAAATGCCTCATTTTCTAGAACTGTGTATTTGGACGATTTCCTTAGATTCAACTTTTCGGAAATCATTCATTTCGTGTATCTGAAATAGAAAAACAGTAAACTTCACACGCTTTATTTTTTCGTCAAAAGTGTTGGTTAACGGTCATTTTGGCCTAGAATCATTTATTAAGTAATTACATCCCTCGTTGAAATGCTTGATCCACTTATTAACAACTATTCCTTTCAATGCATTACATCCGTGAACAGCTTTCGGTAACTTAGGAGTTTTCCTCATGTTTCATCAATAGTCCTATTAGATATTTATTATACAGATCATGTTTTTGTTGCATATTATGGACATTTGAATCTACTTTTCTCCTAACTTTCCCAATACTCTTAAATATTACCGTTAGCTTATTTTAAAAAGTGATTCAATCCCAAGGGTATTTCGATCTTTGTTCAACTGGTCGCTTCGTTTCTATTGTATTCACTGGATCATTTTAAAAAAGTTACATAAACTTGATGCATTTTTTTATCTTTAATGGCTTCATTCCAATAGTGTCTTTTAAATAATCAATATTTTACGATTGAACGAGTTAAATTACCGAATAATACTCTTGTATTTTTACGAATTAATGATCCTTCTGTACTTGATTGCCCGCTGATTTCGAATTCTAATTATATTACGTTTGTTTGTGTTTATCTAGTTCCACGTGGCTTAAATTACACCATTTTGGGAATCCTTAGTTAGTACAATAATTCGAATACTTTTAATCATCATAATATTTTCGTATAGAATTATAGGTATTTTAAGTTTTTGGTTAGGTTTTTAGGCATTTTGTGAAAGTAAATGAGTGTTCGTATTACTTTCCTGCAGTTACTGTTTCTAGCATATTTTAATGTGGGAAAAGAAATGGACTTATGTAATTCGAAATAGGATCGACGTAATTTGTGACTAACGTTAACTTATATCTAACTACTATTTCCGAAGAGACGAAATAACTAGAAATCATGAATTATTATGAATCTGGAAAGATATTTTATTCTTAAGCCTGTCATATTTTTCTACCTTTCAATAAGGATAGCATTCACTACTTCAATCCATATAAGCTAAATCAAATCTGCAGTATTTTAATGAGAAATTCTTAGTTAAGGTTTGATGTATGGATAAACCAAGCAGAACCTAGTAAAAATCTTTTTAAATTAAACAATGAATGGCTTTATATCACGGAAAACGATAGGCAGAAATATCTTTATATGATGCTTGGAACTTTTATTTTGATAACGAAAAGTAATTTTACTGTAGAGCAAAATGATAGTTGGGAATAGTTCACCAAAGAATGTTAGACAAGACTATTGACAAGATCTGTTATTATAATCACTAAGATTCTCCTAATTATAAATAATATCTTACGTTACTCATATGCTCATTAAGTAATATTTCTTAAAACTATTTCTTCAAATTATCGCGATTCAAACAGGTAGTGTGTTTTTTGATTTTAAAAAATCATATTTTCTGTGGAACATATGCTAACAGATTTTATATTTGTATCTAAGTCTGTACACATCCTATAAGATCGAGATATTAACAATCAGAGGTAACCAATTATTATAACGGTCGAATTTGGTTCGTTTACACGAATAGAACACTAATTTACCTGAGACGAATATCTACATTCGATTCCCTCCCAGTGTCTATTCGACAGGACTTCAACACAATTCACATCAAGAACATGTGATTAGTCTGACTAGAACGTAAATATATTTCCACACCAAAAACCGACAACAAGCCTACACAACCCAACAACAATCAATAATAATAATATTAATTATAAGAACAGGAGAATATATAAATCATCTAACGCCTGTCAGACTATCTACAAGTCTGACTAAGCAAACAACCAATCATTATCATTCTAACCCACACATCACCAATATTATACTTAATTTCTCCATATTGGTAACGGAAATCTATCAATCAGTTTAGTATTAATGTTAAATTATTTTGTATAAACAAAATTGACATTAATACAGCTTTTAAAATGTTGTATAGAAAATGTCAACGACAGATTTTCAGGTTTATTGTAGCCTTAGCTATTCGTGAATTTAAATGAAATAAAATTTAACCGACTTTTTTTAAAAAATGATTATTATTTATATCAGAAGGGGTCTTGTGGATGTTATAGTAATTTTAATAGTTGATATTATGAGTAACTTGAAGCTAGACCACCATGGAAAACCTGGAAGCACTGGAAGGCCGTCTCATCCTACTGTGGGTCTCCTCAGCAGTGTGCATCTACGATCCCGCCCCTCGAGATTCGAACCGAGGGCCTACCATTCTGATTTATTTCTATTTTTTTAATGTTCATCGACTAAAAAAATTTAATACAAAATTTGTACATGAATTTGTAAATAAACTTATCTATTCACAATTATATTTTGATGTAATTATTATGAATAAATTAAAATGTTACTTGTGAGAGAGAAAAAACAGCGAAAATTTCATGGTCAAGTCTTTAAAGTATGGTTGAAATCAATACAAACAGGGTATTATTGTGATTATCTACAATTATAAAATTTCGTTTAGAATTTATAAGATTTTTCGAATCAGAAACATTGAAATTTAGTAGTTTCACTTATGAAAGTATTTCACTGTTACTGTAGTGAATGAGAATACAAGTGAGGACAATCGAATGTATTACAGAACATACTAAAATCTGAGAATCGTATAGTAAATAATTCATCTGCAAAATGTCAATGAATTGTCTCAAACTTGACTGTTCTGTTTGCAAATATCAGTCAATCGTCTCAGATTTGATTGTTCTTTTGTTCCCGCACAAATCATTCTATGTTCTCGTTCTCTTTTCTTTAATCTTCTAAATCTTGTGCCGCCAGACATTTCATTTCTGATTGATGATACATACTGCTTATATCTGTCGATATCTGTAGCACACACCATATTACTTGTGTTATTTATTTGTTTGTAATTTCTACGATATTGAGAAAATTCTACTCTGAAATGCACAGTATTAAATATAAGTTTTTTCAACATAGAAATTAAAATAGTCGTTGACAAATTTTTCAGCTTTATTAACTTATTCGTGCTATATTATGATTGTATGGAGGATTTAAAATCGTGTAATTTACTGTTATTTGTGACACATTTGTTAATGGATTACTAGCTAAGCGATTAAATCACTTGATGTTTAGGTACGGGGCTAAACAGTAGATCCATTTATTATTTATTTACAACACGGCAGCTGGTTTATGTATTTAATTTTCCCTTTTACGTTTGAAGATGTTGGTCCATGTCATTACATTTACATGTATAGTCTACAAAAGTATTTAAACAACATTAACCACTGTCAATTAGTGCATGGTTCACTCAATACTTTCACTTATTCTTGATTTCATTCGCAGATGTAACCCTATTACTTCCTCCTTATTCTTTCGTTACATTTGGTATGTTTTATAATAGTAATCTCATTACTTTTAATTGGGTTATAATACACAGTGATTTTCTAAGCTTCGAAAGTAAACGTCAGTACTTTTCTGTTTAAATTATTGTTCAGTCATACCATTTAGTAGGCGATAATGTTACATAAGTGGTTTTTACACCCCGCTATGTACACGTATCTCATCCACGATGTAGTATGTGCATGATCATTGTATGAAATGAAATGATATAACTATACAAGATATATAATATTTTTCAGTTAAGTATAATTATTACCTAGTATTTAATATGTCCTCTGTTTTGGGGTATATTCTGATACTACAACATAAATACCTCGAAATTCTATTACACATAGAAATGAAATCATGTATAATATTCTGAGTACTCAATATCATAAAAAGATGTGCCGAATTATATCATCATAAATGTTTGGATTATTATATCATGGGTGTCATCAGAATTCAGCTACTCTAGTTTCAGTAGATCGAGCTGCTAGTATGTCTCATTTATTATATCTGTGATCCATGTCATCAAGAGAAAAATTCAAACAACCAATACAGTTGAATGATTGTGAATTGTTTTTATTCTAAGTTGTTTAGTTGTTTCTACGACATTTTTTCATCAGTTACTTTTAGTATCAGTAGTATTAAAAGTTAACATAGTGATTAGTCATTTAAGAGACAAACTTTAATTTTGTCTGTTTAATATTTATTCAATGTATTTCCTGAGGAAATGTTTCTTTAAAGATAACTGTTTAAAAATGTATTACGCTTTGCTTTATATTTTAGTTTACAATCATAATTAGTTAACTGCTTATGAAGCAGTTGTTAGTATCATTGAAACTCAAGGGCATGTTATTTGAACACTGATTCATCAAAAACAATCATTATTAATAATGGTTTATTTTAGATGATTCAAAAATTTGTTTGTATTTCTGTTATTCGTTATCATAAGCATAGGTAATGGGAAGAATTAGAAAGCATAGTCTTTATTACCTTGATAAGCCAAATGTAATGATAACTAGTTGTGACAATTTAAATGATGAGCAAGAACAAAGATTGATGCAGAATAATATGAATTCATTTTATTTCGTTAGGTTCTCATCAGATGCTTACAACCTAAAATATTTGAAAATCAACGTTATTACAGTTATTGACATGTTTATACTTAAGAGGGTGATCATGGATGAATATATATGTGTCATGATGTAGCGAACATTCCGATAGAATTAACGAGGTCATAAAATTTTGTTTCGAATAAATCAAGTTTGGGAGGGAAGGTTCTAGAACATTGAAATAGTGATTAGAACTCACGGGATTAAAAAAACAAACATATTAGATGACTATATAATAAAGTAACTGAAAATAGATTAGTAGTAATAAAGAAATATATAAATTGAAATCAGTCAATTATGAATAATGTAATTTTAGAAATTCAGAGAGTTGAAATAGTGAATGACGTAATATATAAATAAATAAAAGGAGGGAGGGTTAATTTTACTTAACGAAATAAAATGAATTCATATTATTCTGCACCAATGTTTGTTGTTGCTCTCTTTAGAATAATAAAGGGAACTATGTGTATGAAATTTAAATGATATTAAATGTAGTTATTTGGTTAACATTGATGTTATGGAATTATGTTTCAAAATTCAACAAAGGAGGAAGCATTTCGTTATTGCTGCAAATTTATCTAGCATCGTGTAATTTCTGTTTCTTTGAACTTCAATCAGGCGTACATTATCTGTGATTAATTGTTTCGTTTAGATAGCTAAATTACGAAGCTTCCTTCCTAGATATGAATAAAATGATCGGTATCTTTTCAGAGTAGAAGTGAGCTTAATCTACGAGAGTTGTATCAGCTCACTCTGTCAGTATTATTTATGATTGATTGTTTTCGTGCTTATTCGGTTTATATCTGATAATGTAGTTGATTAACTGCTCCAGTATGAATCAATAAATTGTTCACTGAATAACAATTAATTTTAATCCCATGTTTTTCAAAATTGTCTAACACTCTTAGAATTTCTCGATACATAAATTTGACTTATATACATGAATTCTTATGGGCCATAACATTTTGTAGCCTCTAACTGCTAATTTACTGTCTTAGAGTATATGAAGAGGACATTCTGAAAGGGTGTATTTTAT